TGTCCACCTATCTATCCATCCATATACCTATGTTTACCTTCACTGAGAACTCAGTACTGTATATGCAAAAGGGTTCATATTTGTTGTCTGTACTTAATTTGGGGAGTTTTTAGCCATTATTTCTTCAAATATTCTTTCTGCCCCTTTTCCCTTTCTCCTTCTGGGACTTGCATAATGTATACGTTGGTCTGCTTGATGGTATCCCCTGAGTTGCTTTTTGAACAACAGTAGTTTAGGTTTAATCAGTGCCTTTACAGGGCAAGTACTATTTAGAGAGTCCTTTGTGGTCCTGAAGCTGGACTAGGGATCTTAGGCCTCTGTCTCAAGCTGGCCTCCCAAGTAATGGGGATGTCATATCATCCTCCTGGCCTAGCTCCTGAGCACAGCTGACTGTCCCTCTGCCTGTCTTCCACTAGAGCTGAAGATCCCTGACAATGCCAATGTGTTCTACGCCATGAACTCTACTGCCAACTATGACTTTGTCCTGAAGAAGCGAACTTTCACCAAGGGGGCAAAGGTCAAGCACGGGGCCAGCTCAACCCTTCCACGCATGAAACAGAAGGGACTCAAGATTGCTAAGGGCATCTTCTAACTGGCCCCTGGCACTGGCCAGCCACAGGGCTGCCCTCCAGGGGCTGGCTGGCCAGGTAGAGAAGCACTTAAAGACTAGAGGGGCTCAGGCCAGGCAGGCACTTCCCTCCCAGCCTGCCAGTCCAGGACACCCCCAGACTCCAGTTTCACCACTGAACCTCTCCTGCTGCCAGGCATGATGCCTGCCATTCAACAGGCTGACCTGGACCCCCGTGGACCACTCGCTGCCTTAGGTGCCTTCTGCTCCCTGGGAACCAGGGGACTAGCTGACTTTTGCCAAGGAGCGGTGCCAACGGGCATGGTGCCCTTCCCGCTGCTGGGCACTGCCCTCTGTACATTTCCCTCACACCTTCGTGGGTGCGGGTCACTGCCACCTGTGCCCATGGGCACTCCAGAACACCCACTCACCCACGAAGTCTAACCACTGCAGTTCTCTCCTCGTGCCCATGGGCACATGCCTGTGACCTTCCCAGGGGTGCCGGCCCTGCCTCCCAGCACTCTAGCCTTTTTTCAGGCTACACCAAAGATTCCATCATCAGGGCCAACAGAGTGAGGGGAGTCTTGCCCCCCCCCCCACCCAACCCTCCTATGGGAGAGGAAAGACAGACCCTCTTCATGGACCAAGCTCTTCACCACTGAGTGAGGAGAGGCCCAACTGAGTCCCATGGATGTCAAATCTCATGTCACTGCAAGTGCCATGTGCCACTGCATCTGGGCTTTGAGACCACATGGAATGGGGGGGTTAGTGGGGAGGTAGGGAGGGAGGGCTTGGGGGAGAGGGAGGAGGAGGGGGATTAAATATTTGTATAAAGGTGAAAAACAATATGTTTACCAATTGGGGAGGGGCAATATTTATTTGTTGTAAATAGCAAATGCTAGACTTGAATATTATATTAAAATCCCGTTTCTACTACAGCCTGGGAATTGTGGTTTTGTTCTTTCCTTTCCTGTGTTCATTCACGTGAGATATAGAATCTTCTTTCTACCATCCAATAAGAAATCTTGTTGGGTCATCCGTTTTCTTTGAGCAGGAAAATTAGCTGAAGTTCCCTGACAACACCATCGTGTTCAGTGCCGTGAATTCTCTCCCTTTTCTGGTTGTGGAAGGACACACACTATCCCAGAGCACAGGTTCATTTCAGAGTCATGAACTGAGCAAGGAACTGAGAGAGCCAATCAAACTCCTAGAAGGTGAAGGTGCTGTCCCAGGGCACAGCAGCAACTTCTGAAATGTGGCATCTTTAACAATAACATTTACAAGACAGTTTCTCAGGACCCAGGATGGTGGCTGTCTTTCTACAGCTTTGGGGAAAGAAGGAATGTTTTCTGCTTCTCTTGCTGAGGTCTCTCTTGACCAGTGGTTTGGAACTTACAGTCTTCAAGGTCAAACTCTGGAGTGCCATCAGCAGTAATAGGGAAACTGGTAAAAAGATCAGAATTCACAATGTGAATAAGGCAAGGCTGGAGGAGGATTGATAACAAACGGGCAAAGGGCAGGTGGGACCTTGTACCCCCAATTCCCCTCTGGGCCCTAAGGTGAGCCCTTTGTCTTAGATTTGAATGCTCTGGGTTCCATGTCCCTGACCTCAGAATCCCTTTTCCTGCTTGCTTCCTTATCTAGGGGTATGGTAGTTGTGTGTCAACCTGGCTGGGCCTGATTTTGAATGGCTGGGCAACTGGATGTAGTTATTCCCCATGATGAGAGACTGATAATCAGCTCCTTGGTGGGATCTGCTGGAGCAGCTGAGGGATGTGGTCTGCGTCCAGTATATAAGAAGAAGCTTTGAGGAAAGGCTTGAGTTTTTCGGCATGCTTGGACCCTGCATGTAGCTGAGTCTTCATCTCAGCGGTCAGCTATGTTGTCGGCCAATCTTGGGCTGTTACTGGACTTGAATTAGTGTCCTACCATGTTGCCTGATAATCTTGGGAGTGTGCCATTTTACTCGTGGACCTTGGGTTTGTCAGCCTCAGCAGCCAGCAGCTGCCTGAGTGAAGCCTTCAGCTTCAGTGGACTGGTAGCAAGAAGCCCAAGGTTGAGGGGCCTCTACCCAGACCCTAGAGCTGGCACTTTTTTTTTTTTTTTCTACAGAAGGGCAGTGTTTTCACAGGGAGAGAGCTCAGGGGGCAGAAGTAAATGTGAGGAAAGCACACAGGGAACAGGTAACTGTGGAGAGGAATTGAGAAAAAAAAAAAAAAGGAAAGATTTACAGCCTTGGAAATCCTATGGGACAGTTCTACTTTGGCCTATAGGGTCATACTATGAGTCAGAATCAATTTGATGTCAAGGGGTTTAAGTTTGCCACACTCTGAAATGGAACACAATTTTTTTTTTAATTTATTTTTTTATTGTGATTTGGGTGAAGATTTATAGAGCAAATTCACCTTCCATACAACAGTTCACATACATTGTCTCATGTCATTGACCACAGTTTACCACAATGCAACAGCTCCCACTTCCTCCCCATAGTTACCTCTTCCCAGTGTCCATCCCTCCATACTCTCCTGCCCCCTGAGCTGTCTCCCTGTGCATAAGCAGCCCT